ATCTATCTATCTATCTATCTATCTATCTATCTATCTATCTATCTATCTATCTCTTTAGCTCGTGCAGCAGCTGATAAATCTAAACCTAAAGTGATGATGATGTCCTTGTGTCTGTAGCAAAGATGATCTGTCAGCTAATGAGGAAGATGAGGAGCTGCTGAAGGTTGGGATGAAGACCTGGTCAAGTCAGGGAGATCCACTGAACGCTGATGATGAGTACGTGTCAAAGAACCACAGGGTGAGTTTCCTCACTTAGTTCTGTCCATCCCCTCATCATCCTGATGTCCTCCTGCAGGATGCGTCCAGTGTCCACTGCTAGCATCGGCAGCACTGGAGTCCAGGAGCGCCTGAATGAGTTGGTCAAGCTCTTCAAAGGTCGAACAGAACGCCACAAAGACCGGCTGGTGGACCCAGACGCATCTGAGGAGGACAGTCCCACAACCTGTGAGTTTGTCCTTCGTCTGCAAGAAGCTTCAGAGTTTAAAGTATTTTGTTTCAGGACCCTGAGTTAAGAAGTTTTGCTTGAATAAAAAGTAGTAAATACGTTTTAGAGGGACAGGAACCTGTGAGGACATTCTCAGCAGATCTAATGTGACTTCACACTGCTTTGAAAAACTAGTTTAGTCAGTTTGTTACATTTTGCCTTCACAGAACAGAAACATAAAAAACAGATGGGAACCATGTGGAGATGCATCTGAACAGAGCTTAGACTCCAAAACAGAGTTGATGACCAACACCTGAAGGTTGGGGTACACTGACTGCAGACAGTTTGCTCCTGCCTTTCAAACGTGCTAAATTTAGACCACATCCAGTTTCAGGTTTGATAAAGCACACTGGGCTGCTAAATGATTATTTTATCTGCAGATCCTCCTCCCAGTACTTTACACACTCCGGGAATCTTCACATATTCTACATAACCATGAAGGAGAATGGATTGTGTCTGTGTCATTTGACTGACACCATCCTAGGTGTGCACAGCTGATAAATCAGAATTCAGCACAGTATCAAGTTTTTAAAAAAAACACAAATCTTCAATAAATCAGCTGCTTAGTCAAGAAATAACTTTGCTTTATATTTATTGAATACTTACCTGGTACCAAGACAAAAGATGGTACGTGGTGAGTTGTTCTGATTCGTACCTCTAACTGGTACATACCAAGTACTTATGTAGTATCTACCAAGTAAGTATATTGAATATACCTAGTACCTACAGGGACTGGATTATGATGTATTGCCCTGTACATACAGAGTACATACAGAGGACTGTATTATGTATTGCTACTGATTTTTTATTTATTTATTTTGTTTTGGTATGGTTTTGTTGGACTGTCTCTATACCTGCACCTTGGGTGATCTATATACCAACATAAAACACTTGGCTTTAATTACCTCCGCCAAGGGCGAGGTAATGTTTTCGGTCCCGTATGTCTGTCTGTCTGTCTGTCTGTCTGTCTGTCTGTCTGTCTGTCTGTCTGTCTGTCTGTCTGTCTGTCTGTCTGTCTGTCGTTCTGTCTGTGGACAACATTACTCAAAAACCTGTGGACAGATTGTCATGAAATTTTTATCATATGTGTGTACTGGGCCAAGGAACACACCTTTAAATTTTGGTGATGTTCCGGATCACAATGCGGATACAGGAATTTTTTTCTTTTAACACTCTGAGATCGGCAAAGCTGCGATGCTTTCACAGGGCTTCAGTAAAAACAACAGTGAGCTGTATTGGACAGCACGGACTTCAAACTTTATAAAAGTAATGTTAAAACCACATTTAATGATGAATCATTTTTGCCATAATATGTGCATCTCTGCTTTTGCGCATTAACTCTTACAGGATGGAGGAATTTGGTCTTGGCAGAGGTTTGCACTCTCCGAGTGCTTCGAGTTTAAGATACTTTACATTCTTATATTTGCAGCCCCAAGCAAAGCTCCACCGCCTCCTGTTCCACCACCTCCTCCAGGAGGGGAGAAGAAGGATGACACGACAGCAGCAAAGGAAGAAGACGAGGAAGCGATCCAGTTTGAACTTCTGGGGTATCCCGTTAAAATTCCAAAACTTCCACCAATCCCCGACTGGCTGCAAGCTATCCTGGATTACCGCTTCCCCTCCAGCATTGACCCATTTACAGGTGAGCATTTCTCCACCACAAAACATAAATCTCAACCTCAACCTCAATCTCTACAAAATGGTATCCTCACAAATGTTGCTTTAAAATCATGTTGCTTTACTGCAAGGGGTGGCCAATGTGTTTTTGGTGGGGTACGTACAAATAAAGAAAAACACCCTGGATTTGAAAGTTCTGGATAACTGCTTTTAAGCTAATTTCAAATGGCTTTAACTCAGCTGTTTTAAAATATTGAGCTGAAATTTTGTGTGATAGCAGCTAAGAATAATCTAAAAACATGCTGAATGCTAGTCACAACTTAATATTCTGCCATTTTTAGACATACAAAGCTGAAGATTAGTGTAGAAGTCGTCAAAACATTCTTTACCAAATTCTAAACGCTAATCAGAAATTCAACATGGTCACTGCAGCTAACTTAAAAAGGCTATAATTAAGTCATTATAAACCTTACTGAGATGAAGTTTGTTGTGGAGTAGCTAATGATTGCATGCCCATTGCTGATGCTAATCCCAAATTAAGCTAACCATTGATGCTAACTTACAAAGGGCTATAATTCAGTCATTTTCAAATATACACAGCTAAAACATTCATATTGTAGAGTAGTATCAGAGAACAATCTTTAACAAAATCTAAATGCATCCATTTGTCAATTATTTGGGAAGGGGGGCACTTGAGGTGGTCAGTCAGGTGCCAGAGGTGGCACTTGCCACCATGTCACCCTTCTGACTCCGCCCCTGGGGTGAGGACAGATGTCTATGCAAAACATGATATCTAGACAGTGTCTTGAGTAAAGACTAATGTCTAAAAACTGGTGTTTGGGTGGAGACAGGTGTCCAGACAAACACCAGGATCTGGTTAAAAACCCCTGTTTTGGGTAATGACCAGTGTTTGGGTAAAGAACGGTACGTATGTAATGACTTGTATCTGAAGCCTGTTGTTTGGGTAACACATGAGATGTTTCGGTAAAGGCCAGCGTCTATGGAAAAACTGATGTCTGGTAAAGTTTGGTCACTAAAGACCAATGTCTTGGGCAATGACTGGACAAAGACTGGCGTCTGGGTAGAAGGTGCTCTCTGGGTAAAGGTCAGTGTTTTGGAAAGGGACTGATGTTTCAGTGGAGGCAGATGTCTGATCACAGACCAGTGTTTTGGCACAGATTTGTGGTTAAATGTCTGTTTTTCTCTACGTGTTTTCTGTCTCCTTAGATCTAATTTACGTGGTCTGGTTGTTCTTCGTGGTGGCGGCGTGGAATTGGAACGTGTGGCTGATCCCCGTCCGCTGGGCGTTCCCCTACCAAACACCTGAGAACATCCACCTGTGGCTGCTGGCCGACTACACCTGCGACTTCATCTACGTCGCCGACATACTGATCTTCCAGCCCAGACTGCAGTTTGTCCGTGGAGGAGACATCGTGGTTCGTGCATGAAAGAAACAAACATCTTGGTTTTATCAGCTCGAGAACACAACCTGTTTGAAATGGTTTTATTTTCCAGTGTGATAAAAAGGACATGAGGGAACATTACATGACCACTGAGAGGTTTAAGGTAAGAAGTAATACAGAATTATTTACTGTCTAACATTATTTAAAATTCACTTCACCTCTTGTAGGAAACAAATGATGGAATGTTTGTGGACATTTTTAGGTTCTGTGTATCAGTGGACCGCACTCGTACCCTAAAGCTCATACTACAGCACAAAAACACGGGTAGAAAAAGATACGTGTGGCAAAGTTGCTTTTAAAAATAGGGACAATTTTTCTGCCATTTTCAGCCCATTTTGAGTTTGTTTCTGTTATTCTGTACTTCTAGAATCCGCTTCTCTGGCAGAAAACATCCGAAGCTACAACCCCCAAAAGGCCCAGGTCCAATAACAAGAATGATAATAAAAAACTGGTCTAAATCTGTCCAATTCTAAAGTATACTTCCACATAACAAACAACTGCCAAGGTGGACACAAAGTAGGCCAACAGGTCCGTGAGGCTGTTGGGGTTGTGGGGTTAGAAGCACAAAAACAAGACTTAACCCTGTATCACCATTTGTATCACATTTGCTACGCAGGATTCTATGACCTATATTTTATCAATGTGATCAATATTTTCCTCAAAAACCTGTTGTATATCATGTGAGACCTGCATTCTGTCCTCTAGTGGATTATCAATGTACTGCAGGAAGTGGAACTTTTTTTTGCCTTTTCAAAATGTCTGCTGACATGAGGTCATCCACACATTTTTTTCAGGAAAACTTTTGCTAATTTTGGATAAGTTATGGTAAGAATAACATCAATATTGTTTGTAATTTTTTTAAATAAATACTTTCTGTGTTGAAACAATGCATAATTACTTAAAAATATTTTTAATAGTTCAGTTAAACCGTGTTATAAGTTTGTGTATCAAACTTGATACTGCAGGTGCTCCAGTCCTGAAATGTCATGTGATATTTTAGTAATTTAATCAACAGTATTATTGCCACAATACAACACACACTATTTTGGAAGATTGATTAATTACTGAAATGCCATTTGAAAACACATTTTGTCTATTTTCAAAGTGTTTGTTTTTGAAATTATAATCTCTACGCTGTACTGACTAAATATTTACGTGTTAGATGTCAAAGAAAATTGAGGAAGAAGAGAGAGAAAAAAAGAAAATGTCATCAATATGATAATATATGGTAATTTTTTATAAAGTGTAACAAGGACAGAAACTGTTTACGAAGTGAAATAAATGGCTGTAAAAACTTAATTGTAAAAAGAAAAACAAAACAAAGAAGTAAACTTCCTAGAGTGTTTTAAACTTAATTTAACTTTTTTGTGAGCAAAATGTTACCAAAACAGCTCAGTGTGTCAGATTTGATACAACACATATAAACAAAGTGATGTGGCAAAAAAAAAAAATTGGATTTTTTTTAAAGGCCAAAAAATGTGAATTTTCTGACTATTTTTAAAGGTTTAGGCTAAGTTTATTTTGCAGAATAATTCAGATTCTGCTTCACGTTTTGTTGTCCTTGTGACTAAATGTGTTTTTTTTTTCCCGCTGATTAAACAGCTTCTGTGTTTTCTTCAGATGGACGTGATCAGCCTGTTTCCCATGGAGGTGTTTTACTTCTTCACAGGAGTGAACTCTCTGCTGAGGTTCCCTCGTCTGCTGAAGGTCAGCTGCTCTCAGCCTCTTTCAGCTCCAGTTTTCTCACGATAAACAGTTTCTTCTTTTGTTTCCCAGTACATGGTTTTCTTTGAGTTTAACGACAGAATGGAGGCTGTCATGAAGAAAGCGTACATCTACAGGTGAAGAACCACACACAGAAAAAAATAACACAAAACTCAACAAGTTTTCCTGTTTCCACAGTTTGTTTCTTTGTAATTAAGACGTTTAAACCTGACCTTTGACCTTTGCTTTCTGTTCATTAATGGTCCAAGACTGCAGACATGAGAACTGGAACTGCAGTAATCTGTGACCATAAATAATAATAATTAAGATCATAATTATGACTAAACATATTCCTTTAAATAATGTTTAGCATATTTATCGTAATTAGGTGGACGATGTCTAATAAAATGTCGGGCTCACTCTGATTAGAAATATTTGGACCTTTGAATATATTTGTTGATTCCCCCTCTTTGTCTCGTTGTCTGAACAAGATTCAGAAAAAGGGATGAACTCAGTTTAAATGTTTGAGCCAGAGCTGTAAAAAGTATTTGGAAATAATAACTAAGTAAAATTACATGAACAGATAATGACTTTGGTAAAAACTAATTTCACTGATGAGAAAACTACTCAAGTAAAAGTCATGAAACTGTTCACAAAAATTGGTAAAATAAAATTAAAAGTGATTTTACACACTCTTTAAGAAATAAACTGTTGAATTTATTCAACCAAACTGACTCCAATAAGCCAGGTTGAGTAAATTGAGTAACAGATGTATTTTCTTTGTCCAATTTACTCCACCAGGCTTAGTGGAGCCAGCTTATGTGGTGTCGTTTGTAAAGTTACACAGTCAGAAATTACCACCAATATTTTTGTTTTATTTAGACTTTTATAAGAAAAAAAAGAACAGATTTATTTTTCAAAGTCAGTTTTTCACCATATGATTCATACATTTATAAATGTCAGTTTATAAACTAAATATTTAACTTACAAATTAAATATTTAGCTAGCCACCTAAATATTTAAGTTAAATATTTAGCTAGCTACCTAAATATTTAATTTGCAAGTTAAATATTTAGTTTATAAACTATGACATTTATAAATGTATGAATCATATGGTGAAAAACTGACTTTGAAAAATAAATTTGTTCTTTTTTTCTTATAAAAGTCTAAATAAAACAAAAATATTGGTGGTAATTTTTGACTGTGTAACTTTACAAACCAGCTGACATGAACTTGTTGAGTAAATTCAACACTTCATTTTTTAGAGCAGAAACATTTTTCATGATGAGTTCAAACGTATTTAATTTTGTGACGAATAACTAGGTGTTACATTTTAAAGTAAAGTAGTAAAAGTATCATTTAACTTTAAAATGTAATGAAATGAAATGAAAAGTAACTGTTTAAAAAATTATTGGTAAAATCTTCAAAAAAACTACTTAAGTACTGTAATGAAGTAAATGTACTTAGTTACTATAAACCTCTAGTTGGAGGCACACTAATAATTCACCTCACCTTCTCTCTCTCGTTGTTGTTGTTGTTGTTGTTGTTGTTGTTGTTGTGTGTCAGGGTGATCCGGACCTCCATGTACCTGCTTTACTCTCTGCATATCAACGCCTGCCTCTTTTACTGGGGTTCTGACTACGAGGGACTGGGATCCACCAAATGGGTCTACAACGGAGAAGGCAATGCGTAAGAACTCGTTCTCATTACGAGCACAAAGCTCCGATCGGCCCAGGAGCTCTACAGATCCGTGTCGTTTTGTTTGAACAAGTAACGACGCTGCAGGACGAGTTGATGAGCTGCTGTGTTTCAGCTCACGTTCACGACACGCTTCTGTTCTCAGGTTTCAGACTTTACAGCTCAAATGTGAGTTCACATTTGCTGCTGACATCTTACTTCTCTCTGCTACACAACTCGCTGACAGCAGCTCAGTCCACTTCCATTACAGTTAGAAAACCAGCAGGAAATAAATTCATTCTATAACTGTGTTTTTTTAAAATCTTTTTTTCATTAGTTGCAAACATATTCTCGCTCTTTTTCTGAGTAAAACTGCAACATATAATTAATCAGTTCATATATGGTTGTGCTGCTTCTTTTTTAACGTGAACCTGCTCCCCAAAGACGTTATTTTAATTCATCTGCTTTTAAGAAAGTAAAAATCCTCCACAGCAGGGCCGGACCTAGCTGATTTGGTTCCCCAGGCAAGATTTGCGGTGGTGCCCCTCGTGTAGTTTTCTAAATCTCTCTGCCAATTTACAAACATTCACACCAGATCAAATAGTTTTAACTTTAATATTATTTTTTCTTCTTTAGAAACCAGGTTGTCCAGTTAAAATAGTTAATAGAGACGTGACGTTCGCAACGATCCGAATCTTTTGAACGGCTCTTTACAACGAAAGATAGGAGCCGAATCGTGGGCAGTAACGAGCCATTTGTAGTTTTATTTCTTTTATTCTTCATGTAATCTTTATTTTTTTTCATACTTAAATCACTGCCGCTTTGCTTTTTCATGGAAAACAGGCGGAGTTGTGGAGTACAGAAGCTCACGGTGAAAGGGGGAGGGGGGTTTCCACTTGACAAACACATGGTTCCACCCACATGACAGGATTACGTCATTACGTACGGCTGCGTGATGACGTAATACGTTCAAAATCGAACGGCTCTTAACGGCTCCCCAAGATCTGGATCCTTTCAAAAAAGCCATTTCTCCCATCTTTAATGGTTAACAATAAAAATCATTAGAAACTGTAAAACCAGAAGTCCTCCTCATACCTGCCAACATCTGCTGACATCATGAGGAACACCTGTTCATGTTAACCAGCTGTGGACTGAAGCAGTTTCAGGGGTACTATACACTGATAAAAACATAAAATCCATTTTTCGTCCCCCATTAGGGGCACCCCCAGATGGTTGGTGCCATTAGTACTTGCCTATACCGCCTATACCATTTTTTAGGCCTTCAGGCACCAAAACATGATGTTACGTAGACTTGAACCCTGCAAACTGTTTTTTAAACATAATTATTTTTTTGATAAAAATGCTATTTATTTTTTACTTTTATAGTTACATTCGTTGTTACTACTTTGCTGTGAAGACGCTGATCACCATCGGCGGACTGCCGGACCCCACCACCGTCTTTGAGATCTGCTTCCAGCTCATCAACTACTTTGTTGGTGTTTTTGCTTTCTCCATCATGATTGGCCAGGTCCGTCTAAGACCCAGCTCCGTTAGTTCCAGAGTAAAAACAAGGTCCTGTGAGTCCAGTCTCTCCTTGTTCATGTCTGCTTGTCCTCCTTTTAGATGAGGGACGTGGTTGGAGCTGCGACTGCCGGGGAGAACTACTACCGAGCCTGTATGGACAGCACCGTCAAGTACATGAACTCCTACAGCATTCCACGAGACGTTCAGAACCGCATCAAGACCTGGTATGACTACACCTGGAAGAGCCAGGGCATGCTGGGTAAGAGGACACAAACACACTCTCAGCGTTTGCTTTGAAGAACTTCAGGTTTTATGAGAAAAAAAAAAGAAAAAAGAAAAGAAAGATTTCTCAGATCTGAGACTTTAGACAATTATTAAATATTATAAATTTAAATGTGAATATGGAAGCCAACAGCAGACGACTAGCTGAGGGGACCAGTCCATCTTCATAGTTACCCAATGAAACACAAAAGGAAAACCATAATTCGTTATCTCAAGAAAACCACTGGCAAATTATTTTTTATCTCGAGAAAAAGCTCGTTATTTTGTGAGAAAACCATGGAAAATAATCAGCAGAAAACGCCCGCTCTCAGCTTCCGTATGTGAATCTATGTAAAAGTTAAGTCTTGATAAAGGATAAAGTTTACATTTAGGAGTTTTAGACAGGAACGCAACTTTTGCCATTGCTGCTTGACTTTTGTTGTGACATCATCATCCTGCGACAAAAGCAGCTGCTGATGCTGCTGAAGATTTCATTCAAAATGTGTTCACTGAAAACAGATACCTGTGGTCTGATAGGCTCAGACACCAGCTGCTACCGCAAGTTTGCTAACATTGCTAACGCATTAGCAATGTTAGCAATGTTAGCAGTGTTAGCACAGTTAGCAACATTAGCAGCGTTAGCAGTGTTAGCATTGTTAGCACAGTTAGCAGCATTAGCAGTGTTAGCAATGTTAGTAATAAGAAAAAAATTGTATAGGTCTTCTGGACGGGTTCTTCTCTAATGAAACGTTTCGTCTCTTCTCCAAGAGACTTCTTCAGTCTGAGAGTTTCAGGCAAAATTCAGGCTTTTAAGCCCTGCCTCCATGTGACTTCATTAGAGAAGAACCCGTCCAGAAGACCTATACAATTTTTTTTTTGATTTTCTACCTGGATTACTGAGATGCATCAGGACAATGTTAGCAATGTTAGTGATGTTAGCAGTGTTAGCACAGTTAGCAGCATTAGCAGCATTAGCAATGTTAGCGATGTTAGCAGTGTTAGCACAGTTAGCAGCATTAGCAGCATCAGCGTATGATGACAGTGACCAACAGCAAAGGCTGTGTTCCATTCTGAAGTAGTGAAATGTAATTTGAACATTTAGCCACAACACTTAGGATTTAACTTTTACACTTTTAAATGTATAAAATGACATGTGTTTGTGACATTTTTTAACATTTCTATTTTATTTCAAAACCTGTAGCATTGACTGTCATATCTTTTTGTGTGCTTGCTAATGTTAATTAGCTGTGGTGGCAACATCTTAAAATTAATTGACAATAAATGTTAATGAATTTTAGATGTACATAATAATTTTTTAGAGTTTAAGATAATCTTTCCTGTGGTTTATAAGATATTTTGCTAACTGAAGCACAGAGTTGACTCTAATAGTAAATGGAAAAATGTTAAAAACAGACCTTGTGTTAAAGTTAATGTTCAGAATGTGTTGGGAAGGACTCTCAGCTACCACAGCTGGTCAGTTATAATTTGTGAAATAGGCTGAGTTTAAACTTTTTCTGTGTTTTCTCCTGCAGACGAACAGGAGCTGCTGGTGCAGCTTCCAGCTAAGATGAGGCAGGACATGGCCGTGGACGTCAACTACTCCATCGTCAGTAAAGTGGCCCTGTTCCAGGTCAGAACCATGAGACCACGATGGTGCTGAGCCGGGAGGCAGGAGCTGAAGCGTCTGCGTGTGTTTCAGGGCTGCGACAGGCAGATGGTGTTCGACATGCTGACCCGGCTCAAGTCCGTCGTCTACCTGCCCGGAGACTTCGTGTGTAAAAAGGTGGGAACGCAGGTGAGGGTGTGTTCAGGTGAGCCGGAGCCGGCCTTCTCACGTGTCGTGGGTTTCAGGGAGAGATCGGCAGAGAGATGTACATCATCAAGCAGGGGGAGGTTCAGGTGGTGGGGGGTCCGGACCTGCAGACGGTCTTCGTCACCATCAGAGCCGGCTCGGTGTTCGGAGAAATCAGGTAAGACCTGAAACTGAGCTAAGCTAACCAAAAACCTGCCTGAGCGACCAGAACCAGTTTGTTCAACAAAACATCTGAGACAAAGAAGAGTCGTTAATGAGACACAATTAATCAGACCTGAAGATTTGTTGAGATTATGGTTGTTTTAGTTTCAGGACCAAATCAAATGACAGATTTAGAGAATTAACATTTTCTCTGAGTGCAGCAGGAATGCTGGCAGGTTTTTGTAAAGAAAAACAGATGCACAAAAATTTTGCAATTTGTTGTAAAATACCTAAAAAATATCCTGATGCATCTCAGTAATCCAGGTAAAAAATCAAAAAGAAAAAAATAGTATAGGTCTTCTGGACGGGTTCTTCTCTAATGAAACGTTTCGTCTCTCCTCCAAGAGACTTCTTCAGTCTGAGAGTTTCAGGCTAAATTCAGGCTTTTAAGCCCTGCCTCCATGTGACTGATACATCACATTCAATGGCTATCGTTGACACCTAATTAACACCTATTGTTAACAGGGGGTGGAGTGATACTGCCAATGGCAGCGCTGTAGGAGGGGGACAACTGAAAACGAAGGCCTCCACCTCTGTTTAATGATGGACGGTCTTACTTCACAAAAATGTCTTCTTTTACTCCTCTCTCAAACCAACGTTCCTCTCTATCAAGAATGAGAACATCCTCATCTCTGAAAGAGTGACCGCTGGCCTGTAAATGAGTGAAAACTGCAGAGTTCTGGCCATTAGATGTAGCTCGTCTGTGTTGGGACATTCTTTTGAACAGTGGCTGCTTTGTTTCCCCGATGTACCTAAAAAATAAGCTGAAATTAGCAGAAAAGTAGCTGAAAACGTTGCTGAAAAACCTTAATCCAACAATAAAAGCACAAAAAGAGGCATGTTGGCTGTCAGAAGATGAAATTAGCACAAAAAAAATTGAGATTTGAGTTTTAAGATGAAAAAGCTAAAAGTAGCTGAAATTGCAAAAAACAGCTGAAAGATGCATTTAAAGTTTAAATTAATAGAAAGAAGCTGATAGAAGGACAAAAATGTTTAAATTAGCGGAATAGCTAAAAAAACAAAAACAAAAGATAGCTGAAAAAATGTAAACTTAGCCAAAAACTAAAAATAAATAAATAAGTAAAAGAAGGTGACATTAACACAAAGAAGTTAAAAAGCAGATCCAGAACAAAAGGTGTAAAGTGCCGTAAAAGTTTCAAGATTTATTCATTTCATTAAAAGCTAAATAAATTTTATGTACAATAGAAGAGAATAAAATACAAATCAAACTAGACATGGGTTTTTACAATATAAAAACAAGTGTGCATTGCCATGTAGCATGGCTTTACCTGCAGCATTGGACTTACAGAATGAACTTTGACCAAGTTCAAATGTGTTTTCTGAACCAGCTTGTGCCTGTCACGTCAGCAGGTGTTTGTAATTAAGGTAATTATGTGACAATATGAAGTTGGAAGAGATTTTTTTTGTTAAAGTTGCATTAGCTGTGTTTTGAACCCTGATCTCCCACATGAAAGTCCATGACATAGACCATTAGACCAACAGAGCTGTGGCAGAAAGTGGTGGCAGGGGTTGGTTTGTATGTGTGCAGAAAGAGGCCACATTGTCAATACAATTATTGACACAAAAATGCATAATATTACAACAATCGAGCAGTATTAAGACAATATTATAGTAAAACATCAAAATACAATCATATTAGTATTGTAAACACTGAACTACTGAGTTGAAATATTAAACTGTGATGCAGTACCAAGTTGAGTACAGCATGGGGCAGTATTGGACCAATACAAGGCTCCAATGACTGCCATTATAATTTATTCAACATTAATATTTCATAAACTATAAGCTTTAAAGGCACCAAAAGGCATAGCCATCATTCGGCACAGGGGCTTAACAGATATAAATTACAATAGCAGCTCTGCAGGAGGAGAAGCATGGCAAAGTTGAGATGACTTGGATGGGAAACGAATCACAATAGAAAAAAAATACAAATATTTTTAAAGGTTTTATGATGTTGAATGGAGCTCCATTCATTTTCAATGAGAAAAAAATGGCAGAAAAATATAAATATAAATGAATATATATAATATTATGTAAATATGTCAAAAGTAAAAAATAGCTGAAATATCAAAAGTCATAGCCAGAATGTCCAGAAGGAGCTGGAAGTTTTGGTGTAAAAACTATTGAAATAGCATAAACATTGTGGAGGGGGATACTCGCTGAAGAACATCTAGAAGAAAACTAATCGTAATATGATGACTTGATCATAATCAAACAGTGACAGATTTGTTACTGAGACCCAATCAGATAAAAACTAGTTGATGAAACTTGATCACATATTGAAATTTTTATGTCTGAGACCAGATTAGATGATGGCAGATTTGTTTATTTTTTAATCTGAAGAAAATATTGACAGAGTTCTGGCATCAAGTTCAGGACAAATCATGTTAAACTGTAAAAAATGTGACAGAGAAGAATCCTCTCACATTTTCTGCTTTAAAACTTTTTAAGACTCAGGCTTCGTGTCTTTTTTATTTTATTATTCAGAAACAGGATACAGGTGTTTTTCTTCGTTGTGTCAGTCTGCTTGCAGGAGGTGGAGGAAACCGGCGGACCGCCAACGTAAAGGCACACGGATTTGCCAACCTGTTCATCCTGGATAAAAACGACCTGGCAGAGATCTTGGTTCATTATCCCGAGTCTCAGAAACTCCTGCGGAAAAAAGCAAAGTAAGACTAAAGCTGAGTCCTGATTCATAGTGATGGAAATTATAAAACATAACTAAGTGAACCCCTAAAATCAATCAGGGTTTTTATTTAATTTGAAGAACTACCCTGAGGTGAGGGTGCGGGGTGGCAGAGGTATTAATTAGGCAGGTTAGTGGTGGAGGAAACCCATGGTCAAAAAAAAACTATCAGTTTTGTAATGTTTTAATTTATTGTAAGAGTCAAACTGTCTTTTGAGAGGATGCAGTATATTGAAATTCAAGTAAACTTTCATCAGCATCAATGTAATAAATACAGTCTATGCTCTACACACTTAGTTACACAAATGGTTCTGGGCAACAACAATCATGGTTGTACAAAAATATTGAGGGTTAATTTAGCTAAAGCAGGAGTATGGGGTACCGGGCCACTTGATACAGGCTGTCAGGTCCTTGTACGACCGGTGTCAGAGTCTGGTTCGCATTGCCGGCAGTAAGTCGGG